CTCTTATCCACTGATTTCCATGGCCTTGTTGGCTCTATGTCTAGTTACTAGACTGTTGAGATTACATTACATTACATTACATGACAGCGAAGCATAAGTTCCAATGGTTGTTGTACTGCTGTTATTGGTTGATTACTTTATTGATTATGTATCTATCCCAAACTTTGCGGCGCCGTTACGCTAACTGTTTATATTCCGTATCAAACCATTGCGGTTTGACAGGTTTGACTTTTGAGTACTTCCGGGGAATGCACCGGAGTACACAGTGAGTTAAGCTTCCCCTTCATTAATGACCAACAGGCTTCAAGCGACACATTCTGTGGTTTTGTCCAATCAGTCCGACTTTCGGTTTTCAAGGGTCTGTTGAAGTCCGTCTTTCAATGATTGAATGTCGGCTTCCGTTGGTTTTAATGCGGTAGCGGCAGTCGTATGCTTGCCGAAATGGGGCAGGGGTCGTGGTTCGCTAGAACTTCGAGGACTCTGACCTCGATCCATGTGCGCGCTGACTTAGACCCAGCAGACAGAGAGAAACTCAAGTCTGCGCTGATTGAACTAATACGACGCACGGACGATGGAGAAACAAATCTCCGTATTGCAACTTTTCGGGTAGTTGTTTGAATTCCTCCGCGAATCCGGATCAACAGTTTTTTGATGCTTCAGTCGCGCCCAGCGGTTCCTACCGCGGTCTGCGCGTAGCCTTTACTAACGTCTGCAGTCTGATGAACAAGCGCGATGTGCTGTACTACTTTGTAAGCTCTCAGCGACCAGACGTATTAGGCCTTGCTGAGACATGGTTAAACTCCGACGTAACCGCCCAAGAAGTGGAAATCAGTGGCTACTCATAATTCCGCTGTGATAGACTATCAAATGATCGCGGTGGCGTTCTACTTTACATAGAGTCTTCCTTATGTGGGAGACTAGTGAGCGCCTACCAAAGCGCTGATGGTCTATGTGAGCAGTTATGGTGTTCGATCCACCTCAGACGCTGCGAGTTGCTCGTGGGCGTGGTATATCGCAGTCCACTGAGCCGCTGTTTGGACTGGTTGCCGCATGTCCGCAACCACATGAGTCGTCAGATGTTCCTACTCATGGGCGATTTCAACTTACCCCGAATACAGTGGCCTGGGCTGAACTTCTCCCCGGCCACTCTGAACTCGAGAGGAAGTTTACGGAGTTGATATTTGAAACCGGAGCCACACAGCATATCAACCAACCGACACGCATAACTGCGCGCGCGACTCCATCGCGTTTAGACCCGCTTTTGACTAGTTGTGAACAGCGTGTGCACGACATTCAAGTCTTAGAGCCTCTGGGAGCCAGTGACCACTCGATGATCATAGCCAGCTTGGAACTACGGCTGCCGTATTCTCCTCCGCTGGAGCCAGCCTTCAACTATTGGAAGGTGGACTTTAATGGCCTCATTTGGGCAGCGAGCGAGATAGACTGGTCTTTATCACAGGATTCGTCGATTGAAACCTGTTAGACTATCATGAAAGAGGAAGTGAAATGGTTGTACGCCCGATTTGTACCCCTAAAATATCGGAAAGTTGGGCCAATCAAACCACATTGGTTCGACAAGGAGTACAGCAAACTGGCCCGACGACAACGCAGACTATGGAACAAATTCGTGTTATCTGGCTCTGATGAGGACTACAAGGTGTACAAGGTACAGCGAAATCGCTGCAACAACGCGAAAACAAACTAAAACGCCAAAGCTCGGAAGAGCAGCTTGCAACCGCCGCAAAAACTGCTCCCAAGAGGATCTTCGCATACGTGAAGCGGCGCCTGAGGTCTGCAGGCAATGTCTCAGTGTTAGAAGGCTCCGATGGACAGCCCCTAACCTCGAGTACAGATCGTGCGTCCGCATTGGCGGCGCACTTCGTCTCCGTATTTGCAAGTGACCAGGTGTATGTAACGAGTTCGACGAGTACCGCTCCCGCTGAACTTGACAGGCTAGACTGCAGTATTAAGGATGTACGCGAGCTTCTAGCAAATCTTGACGGGACGAAGCCTGCTGGATCAGATGGAATCCACTCACTGATTCTCAAGTCCCTATCGGCCATCATCGCGCATTCTGTAACTGAGCTGTTCAACAGGTCACTATCCACTGAACTATTACCGGGCGACTGGAAATGCTCAGTCGTAAAGCCCATACCGAAAGGTGGTAACCCAATCAAAGTGGATAACTACCGGCCGATCTACCTGACCGCTGCTTTGGCAGAGACGCTCGGGAAGATCGTGAAGGAGCGCCTTCTGCAGCTTCTCGAGTCGAAAAGCCTCTTGATACCCGCACAGCATGGTTTCGTGAAAGGTCGCTCGTGCATCACCAACCTACTGTTGACGAGGCACGAATGGTTACAAGCGCTGAGCCAAGGCAAATCAGTCGACGTCATTTACAGTGACTTCAGTAAAGCTTTTGACAAGGTAAATCATGCATTGCTCCTCGACCGGTGTTGGGGGTTCGCTACACCAATGGATCAGGAATTTCCTTGTTGATCGAAAGTGGAGGATCCAGGTAGACAACCATTTAGCCGACTGGTATCCATTGAGCAACGGCGTGACCAAAGACACTGTACTGGGGCCGATTTTGTTTTTGATCCATGTAAACGATACGCCTCAGCTACTCCAATCATCTTGTGCGTTGTTCATAAATGACTTGAAGGTGTGGAGAGTAATCCGCACACCCAATGATTGTGACTTGCTTCAGCAGAACCTCGACCGCCTCCACGTGGTCTGCAGAGATCAACCTCCCAATCAACCCGGTCAAATCGCAATACATGAGGCTGGGTAAGTGTGAACACAGTCAAACCTACACGGTGGCTTGTCAACCGTTGCATCCCGCGCACTTCGTGCGCGACCTCGGTGTACTCTCACGCTACGACCTAAAGTCCCTGGACAACACGAATAGGATTTACCAAAACCGCCTTCGTATGGCTTGGGCGCTCAGGCGCAGCTTCAGCACTTGGTCCGAAGTGATTGTCTCTCGCCTCTTCGTCACAATAATACGACTAATACTAGAGTATGACTCTCCCGCGTATTGTCCTATCACCCGGGGCAAGGTAGAAAGCTTAAGCGGATGCAGCATGTAGCCACCAGGCTGATTCCCAACTTAAGTGGTATGCCGTAAGAAAAACAGTATAAGAAACTAGGGCTGCACACCCTAGCTTATCGTCGACTGAGGGTTGACCTCATCATGACTCACTGGATATTACATCTGGGTGATTACCCTATGTTGAAACTACTGCTTCATCTGTGCAAACCAAGAAGCACACGAGGACACCGGTATAAGCTTGTCGTACCGGATTTGAAGCGGGTCGCTCATCAAGTCTGTTTCGAACGCAGAGTGGTGAATGTATGGAACGAACTGCCGCAGCACGTAGTAGAGGCAAAGTCGGTGTCGGAATTTACGAAGTTCCTTGACAAACGCTGCGGACGCAAAGTATATAGAGCGGAACAACCTAACGGGTACTTGTCGATGAGCGACGATTAATGCAGCTACACAGCAAAAGCTCTGCTCGCTGCTTCTAACCAGTAATCAGTGATCTTTCAAATTCTGCTCTGAACTCGTAAGCATTAGGTCTAAATAATGAACGATAATGATAGTGATGATAATGATGCTTCGCTTGTACTAGACCACCACTTGTTGCATGCGAACGGAGGGTAAGGCTAAGCGCTTGGTATCTGTGCTGGCTCGAATCGTCTACCTGTGCGGTACGAGCCAGACATCTGAGCTACTCGGCGATCCACAGCCCTTTATACTTGTGCTGTAGCGGAGCGCACTAACGTACTTCTATTTCTCCTCATGAATTCCCCTTTCATATACATATCGCCATAATGTTCACTTTAAGCCCAATAGAATCAGCTCAGCTAATTTGCACAAGCTTCCCACACTTTGCGATGTCAGCCTTTTATTTCTGGTCTAGAGGAAGGAAGTTTCTAAAACAAGTTCATTTTTGTGTTTACTAGCAGAGAGATACACATCGGTATTTGCACAACCTGCCTTGTACTTGTAGCTGCTCATTAGAAGTGGTTATCTTATGCACTTTTGCTGTAACTGTCGTAAACATTCAAGTTTTTGGCAATTCGTCACGGCATTTCTCTATAACAGTTTTTAGCTTCTACGTCATCTAGGAGCCGGATGGGACACTCAACCAACACGAAGGGTTTGCATCATGAGACTTTGCAATCAATACCATCTTTCTGAGCAATAACAAAAAATTATTTCCTTTCTGGTTTTTTATTACCACTGAATCTCTCAATGTGCTCTGTTATATGTTAGCGAGAATGTTTATGAGAATAAAAACGGAAATGCGAATTACTACCTAGCTGAAATTGCCTATTAGTTAGAGTATTTAGCTGGGGAAAGCGAATTTAGATAGAAACGAGTGAGGTGGAGAAATCCATTTGCTTTTGCTTTTTTGTTTTCATTGACAACGTGAGATGGGTGCAATCAGCAATACCACAAGCATGCAGCTGAGAGGAAAATCAGCTTGTTTCACCTGGTTGTGTGAAGGGGTAAATGTTAGATGCAAGTAAATGGAACGATGTAAGAAAGAGTACTGAAAACAGTGAAGTCATTATACTGGTGGCGTTCGGTTCAGCATTCTATTTACTTAGCCTTCTCTGTCCATGTATTCTTGATGCGAATGAGCCCCGACTTGGCTACTGACGCATTTAGTGTAACTTACTCCAGTTGAAATATTGTTAGTTGGGATCTACACTGTAGTAGAAAGGTTTTTGCCGTGGCCATGACCAGGATTGTTGAAGAGAATGATCTTTTCTATTTGTAAAAGAGTGAATTGATCATTCAGCGTTTTCACGTATCACTAGTGCACTTTCCTTTTTAGTTCCTATTTACTTGCCATAAGTGTTAACCCTACTCTTTTTGATTCTATCTCTTACAGTCTATTCCTCTGGATGTAATATTTGTCTCCCCGATGTATCCGCCAACGGCGAACACTCTCTAACACATCAGTTATTTCCATGGTTATTGTTGACAGTTGTCGAAGAATTTGAACAAAGTGCGCCGCCTACTTTGCCATCTGTGTAGCGATTGTCGTGGGTCAACCATGAGACGTCCCATGCCAGTTGGAGAGCGCGGAAGTAGACTTGGCCGTGGTGGAAAAAGTGAGTACTCTGTTTATCACTCCGCCTATGGTAGCGGTATATTCACGTAACATTCGTTTTCCGGAGATCACTATAGTAAACGAATTCAGTCGGTTACTCTATTGTTACTATTCAATCTTGACAATACTGCTGTTGTCACTTTTGTTATCCTGTGGGCGGAGCGAGGTTCATTCCATTAGTTTCCACTGGACCCGGCTTCATCATACCGACAGCTGCAATGGTAGTTATGAGGTGGTTGTTTTATCAGCCGCTGCGTCATCACATTCGAAACTACAGCTGCGTTAAAGAGAAAGGGCACACACACCAGTCCCGAGTAATGCCTTTGAGCGTCTTAAGAACTGCTCCCACTTTTATTGCCACTGGTTAGGGGTCGAACGCGATTAACTTAGGTTTTTTTTAGATTAAAACTGCACTTGTTTCCGTAAAACCAACCAATCTCACAGTGCGTTGCTGTGTTCTTGTTACTCCATTGACCGGCTTTTAGATCAAGGGCTTTAGTCGAAATTCCTGGATTTGGGCTCTCTGGCAGCTCTAGTGTAAATGTAGAAAAAGAGCTCTTTCGGCTACATAAAGCTTATTATCACTGGACACAATTTGATTATCAACTTCATTAATCTCTCTCACATGTATAACTAAATATATTTCTTTGCGTGTATTGACCGTGTAACCGGTGTATTTCTTATTAGTGTTAGTATTCCAAGCGGCTGCAATACAGACTTAAAGTATGCCTGAGACTGAGACAGTGTGCAACTCACCACTGTGCCACAGACGCTCGATGTAAGTCGCCAAACAGCCTGGCACCTATTTTCTTAGCACAAGACAACTATGCTATTAACAAAGTCATTAGTTTTATCATACAGTTTCCTCGGGTATCTCAATGAAATAGTTGGAGCAGATCAAAGCACTGAGTCCACAGCTTGAGACCTCGGACTGCTATGGTAACGTCAGCAGTGTGTGTTGGAGGTGCACGCAAGACGGTTAAACGCATTTCGTTCGGATGATGCGGTTGAACAACACAGCGAGCAATAGCCCAGCACCCCCACCCACGGAAACCTTGTATTTCGTATTACAAGCTAACTAGAACCCCTCTGATTGGTGGTGCATGACTGTTTATTGCCTCCCCTCTTCCTTCTGACTAATGACTCCGTACTTTGTGACGCCATGGGTTAAAGGCTCTTTCCGATACGGTACCAAGTCCGTGGCGCTTTTACATCCTTTGCTTTTTCACTCTTAATCTTCCCACTTGACGCTTCTGACTTTTCTCTGGATCCTTTTCCTTTGCATTTTCGTCTTTCCCTTTCTTGCATTCCCTTGTTTTCTTCCCTAATCCCGATTGGTATTATCTTATCTTGTGGCCCATCGCATTTTAGAGCCTCTGCACCATGCTTGACTACTTTGCTGAACCCTCCAATTTCACCACCATCATCTACGTTCACTTTCTTGCTTCTGAGACATCTGTGCTGTCGTCGCAACATTTCGCTTTCGTTAGAAGTCAGGGTTTACAGTGCTTGCGTTTGTGCGATACTACAGTATAGATGCCAGTTCTGATCGCTCTAGGTAAATAGTATGCGTATGATTTTTGCCTTTGACAGTGGCTGTTTGCGGAGGATCGCCCGTGCATGATGAAAACACCGAGCGCACAATGAAGATGTCAGACGCCGCATTTTGAGTAAGGCGGATCTTCCCCTCCGTTGATTTGTTGCGTCACACCTCTTGAGATGATTTGGTCACTTCCTGCGCATGCCTAACGAGCGTTGATCGAGCAGCGCCTTATTTGCACTTTTGGAGCCGAGAAGCTTCAGCAGTACACCGCACACTGTACCGACCCTTCTCTGCCAAGCTACCACCACCATTTGCGAGTGGGCTGGGTACTATAGGACTAGCTAATACTAGTCCTAGACGATGTGCGTAATCGGGCGCAGATATCACAGCTGACTATCTTCGAGTGGCTACGAAATGACCTGGACGGATGAAGCGAGACAGGAGTGAATGTCAATACGGTGACTTACAGAGCAGATGAGTGTCGAGCCGGATTAGGCCAACATGGTCGTAGCTTAAGAGAGATTAAAACAAGGAAGAATAATGTACAGTTGCTCTACACTGAAATTGCACATGAAGGATAGTAATCTTTTGGGGTGCTGCAGAGATACTCCTAGGAGGCTAGACGAAAGAAGCTTTTGATGTTAAAAATGATGGGTAAATCGGAGTTTGTGGGGCAAAATCGTGCCGAGTAACAGTGAGCGACCGTATGTGTCAAGTAGGATTCACCGAAAATAGGAGCCCGCTGTGCCTTTTGTTATTTGCTGATTCTAGGTCAGGGTGCACTTCGGTAAGACATGGGATCGGGCTTGTCGGAGTTCAAAAAAACTTACTATCCTAGCAAAACGCTCGACAGAACCTCAACTTCCGCTGCTGCTAAGTGATGCACTTGGGAGTGTCCTCTCCGCCCCGCGCCATAACAACCCTCGTTCCACCTAGAAACGTCCCGAGTTCGCGCCCGAACCCTGGCTGACTCGTGTGGGCCAGTCGATCGAATGGGAGTTTTGGGGCATGTAGGGACGAAGAAGAAAAACGCATGCAGTACACGCCAAAAAGAACAGACGACTGGCTTGCGTGCAAAAATGCTTAGATTTTTTGGTTTTGGGTCTTCTAGGATCTTTCGGAAATTTTTTGTTTTTTATATCTTCAGGAAGTTAATCGACCAGAAAATGAGCCAAATATATACTACATCTACAAATCTATGCGTATTTACGCTACATAGTCGGCGAAACGAACTGGTTTACATACCTCTCGACCACGGCGCTTGATCGTGGGATGTGGCAGCTTAGGTTCGAAAACTGATATCGGGACGTTTTATGCTTGTAGACTAGGATCGTTGTCTGAATCGACGATGCTAAGTTGTTGCAAATCTTTGCGATTAGTTGCAACGTTGCACGAAGCATTACTAGACGATGGAAGTGAGGTGGTTTCCTCCATAAAGGCTGGCTTTAGGCGGTTGCTAGTGACGATTTCGCATCGGCCACCGCGGTCCATCGTAAATTGTACGGTAAATTACTTTGAAGGATCCGATGTACGGCGACTACAAGGGCTGTTGCACACCGTGTACACGAAGCACTACGTGTGAGCAAGTAGACAGTTTTTCGGACACCTACACCAGTGTCATCTGCAACCTTGAAGCGGACGGGCCGGCGCAGCTCCCGCATCGGGTGGGCCAATCGATCAGTACTCGATGAATAAAGTGCACGATGCTGGTGCTATCAACTGTCCGGGCGAACGCAGCGTGAAGCCGTAGACCAGCTGAGCTGGTATTGCGTCGAAATCTAGTTTAACTGTGTTCCAGAGGCCTAGGCGGAGGAGAGGAAGGGTTTCGCACCACAAGGAGTCTGCCTGCGCTTGTATCTTTGCCTTCAGTCGGCGATGAAATCGCTATACCATACCGTTAGCGGCCGAATGACACACGGTCATCTGGACATAGCGTCTGACTAAATCCTTAAGCAACTTAGCGAAACTGAACAAGAAATTTGACCCTCGATCGTGGTCACGGTGGCGAGACAGCCAAACTGAGCTACCTAGCGCTCTAAAATACCTTTGCTACTGTTTCCGAAGAACAGTCCGGAATTGGAATAGCCTCTGGTCACTTGGCGAATCGGCCAATGCAAGTTAGTAGGTATACCGAGCCTTTCGAAGGCGGTAAAGTACCTTGGAAGTCGACGTGCACGTGGTGAAAACGTTCATCTGGCGTCGGAAAAGTGCCTTATGAACATTTCTTGTGCTTTTGCACCTTCCCATGTTGTAATGGAAGGTAAACAACTGCTCAATTTCGAACATCAAGATTGACATTGCACTAAACAAGTCGTGCGGTTACGAGCTTAACGGATGCACGAACGCCTGGGTGAGACAAGTCGTGTAACGTGTCGAACACGGTCTGTCGAAACTCGCGTTGGACGACTGCACGCGACGTGCCCAGAGATAAATCGCAACTAATGGCTCCGTTTGATGTCAGCGGAACGGGTTCAGTGACGGGGACCTGCGTAGTAGATCATTGAGTTACGCCATTGAGTTACGACCATACTTTTCAGATTGATAGCAGTGCCGGCGTTAGCGGAGATCTCTTAAATTCGGGAAGTCGCGTCGGCGACGATGTTCTGCACACCTGAGACATGTCGTATATCAGTCCTTAACTGAGCAATATATCTAGATGGCGCGACTCTAGGAGAGTAACTGTCGGTTTTCGAGTCGAGCACATAAGTCAGGGGTTAGTGGTTGGTGAAAGTAAGGCCTTCTAAGACATGTCTTAAATGACGTATCCCCACATAGATGGCTAATACTTCTCCGCAGGGCGTGCCGTAACGAGGTTCGACAGATTACAGATATTTAAAGAAGAGAATCAGCGGTTGCCAAGCTTTACCTACTTGCTGCTGTAAAGCAGCACCAACTGCCACGTCAGAAGCGTCCGTACTGAGTGACGGTGTAACTGTCGGGTCGTGGTGCTCTACAGAAGCTATGTTGCCATAGCTTCTTTCTTAACTTTCCCTCGGAGAAGTCCCTTTCGGAGCTGCATAAGCGAAGCGCCGTTTCATACTTATGAAACGGCGATAAAAGTAGACGAGGCCGTCAAACCGTCTTAGTTGTCTGTATGAATGAGGTTTGGGGTAGTCGATGATGACCTTAATTTTATCCTGCAGTGGCACGACGCCTGCAGGAAAGATTTGATGGCCGATAAAACTGACCGAATCGACACCAAACGAACACTTTTCTGCATTGACCTTTGCCCCATGCTGATATAAACACTCAAAGAGTGTTAGAAGCTCGTGATTGGTATGTTATCAAGGTATACGTAAGCGAAGTCTCAACCAAAACAAGCTTGATCGATGAAATGTTGAAAAGTTTGTGCAGCATTCTTTAGACCAAAATCGCATGCGCAGAAATGCACGCCAATTAACTGGAGTTGTCACGGCAGTTTTAGCGGTGCCAACTTCTGCTACCGAAATATGCTTGTA